CTTCCTTTTTAATTATATTTTTATTAAATATTTATTTATTTGTGAAAAATACTTTGTCATCTAAAGTATAAGTATGATTATTTTACACATTTATTTTTTAATCCATTGTCAAATGATTTCAAATTTCTGAAATATTAATTAAAATTAAAAACAAATTATATCGGCTTTATATCGGCCACCCTGCTTTCCAAGATATCGGCATCGGCTGTCAAAAAACCAATATCGGTCGACCACTAGTACCAAGAGCACCTTAAAAACCACAACAAATTCCTTGTGTGTCTGCGCACACTTGGCGAATAAACCTAATTCTGATTCTGATATTAGAATTAGGGATTGATAGAAGAATAAATCATTCGTACCTGATCGTGCCTCTAAACCGGTCTTTTAGCGGTGTCGACTAATCTACCCATCTCTGGTGATACAGTGTTTTACATACTCTAATATGATGTTAATTTGAATATTTATTTACAAAATGAGTCGCGTCGTCAAAACATAAGAGGAAGTTTATATGCTAAGAAAATTTGTCCCACCGCTAAAAATACCATTTTGCCCCATATATCATATAAAAAACACACTACTGTACAGGAGAAATGAATTTTAAAAAAAATATTTACAAAAATGCAAAAAAAAAATTTAAACCGGATTTCGGTGACTTAATGTAAATGAGGTTTCCAGAGCAATCTAGGTGATCAAAACAGCTGGAGTCGTTCATCAGCTGCGGGTTCGTGTAGAGGCACATAGGTGAGTGCTTCACCGCAGGTTTAGGGCAGGTATGCATGACAGCAGCGCTCGCGCCCCGGGCGGTGGGCAGGGCTCGCCAAACGAGTCTTTAAACCCTGCAAACACCTCCAAAACTACTCACTCACTCACAGAATATCACGTATACGGGATTATATCAAGCAAGTCAATCAACATCACCTGTTTTTGCCATATGTTGACCGAAATCGAACATATTTATGGGTTTACAACGCCATAATAGTGCTGCGCGTGCGGATGATTCAGCCCTACAGCAACACACGTGAACGCTATAGAGGAATCAAACTGCTCACAACTTTTACTAACCACATCAAAGTTCATAAAACATCAGTCTGTGCATAAACAAAGAACATATAGCCAAGTCCTGCAACGATTAATGTCGATAAGCCCAAAAGGACGCGCAGATAGCATGTTAATAACAGCGACCCACCTGGAACACACAGCTTCATGGGCGACATGTTTTCAAGAAGAGACAGTCGCATTTTCATTGGCTATTAGTCAGAGGGCAACTCGCGCTCTGATTGGTCACTTCATTATACGCGGTTTGAGTAAACCGCCATATTTGTTGTGGCTGCAAATGTAAATATTACTCTGGGAGGCATGTTGAATGGAAAAGGTTTGGACGTTTTGTTTCTTGTAACACCTTTCTTGTATATTTCTTAGTATATGTTATTATTTAAAAAAAATAAAATAAATAAACGTAGTCCAGGAGACATGAAAAAATACACTGCCGTTCAATGGATCTGTAAGATTTGTGTTTTTCAAAGAAGTCTCTTCTGCTCACCAAGGCTGCATTACTTTGATCAAAAATACAGTAAATAAACTGTAATATTGTGAAATATTATTATTTAAAATAGTGGTTTTCTATTTTAATATACTTTAAAATGTAATTTATTTCTGTGATGCAAAGCTGAATTTTCAGCATCATTACTCCAGGCTTCAGTGTCACATGATCCTTCAGAAATGTTGGAAACAGTTGTGATGCTTTTTATGTTTTTTGGAACCTGTGATACATTTTTCAGGATTCTTTGATGAATAAAATGTTAAAAGAACAGCATTTATTTAAAATAGAAATCTTTTGTATATTCATGTTTTTCAACTATTTATTGTGATAGATATTTTTATCTTTAGGAATCAGAAGAAAATATTCACAGCATGGAACTTTTTTTCTGCTTAAGCAAGCCGACATTTATTAGGGATTGCACATCTCATAACTTCTCATAACGTCTTTCAGTCAAGCAAAATAATTTTAACATCTGCTGAACAAGCGAAATGTACAAGAACAGAGACAAAATGCTATAATTCATTTTCTGGGACAACAATATTCAGTATTTCCTTAATGGCGAATGTTTGCAGGATACTTGGGTCAAAATGCATTGAACAAGACATGTACTACAGTACAAAAACACCAACATACAGTGACATTTACCACAGAAAAAGTGAGAAGAAAATGACCATAAACATATGCAAAAAGCCCGCAGGAATATCACCAAACAAACTCCCTTCTCCACTCTAGATGTAGGTGAATCCTAAAAACAAACCGTAACACACATCTTTTCAGTGACTTCAAAGTGTGGGATGATTCAAGAGCATTTGTGTGGGTGTTTAGAGATATAGAGCAGCGGTGCAAAGCATGAATCACGCAAAGACGGGGAATCGCAGCACTTCTGCAGCCCACATGGCCATTAATATATGCTGTTGCCTGGCAACAGTGGTCAAAGCATGCCATCACAGACAAACACATGTGCCATCTTTTGAAATGTGCGACCGTGGATCTTCAGTGCCGAGACTATGTAAAGCTAAAATCCCTCCCTGTGGCTCAGGTTCACTGCATTTACACACATACCCAAGCAGTTTCAATTGAATTTTATTATAAGGATGGTCCCGATTCAGAGCATTAGGAAATGAATTATTGGTCAGTGGTTTGGTTCTAGGCTCATGGTCAAACACTGATTGCGTTTTTGAGGAGGATTGTGTGAATTGAGGTCTACTTCTTGGCTTTGCCCTGAGCGGCGACGGCCTCCATGGCTTTGCGGACCGTCTCTTCATCCCCCAGGAACTGCATGGGCTTCACGGGCTTCAGGTTCTTGTCCAGCTCATAAAGGACGGGGATTCCTGTGGGCAGATTCAGCTCCATAATCGCCTCCTCTGACATACCTGGAGCAAACACACGGGTTACAATCAGCACAATCAAATAGATGCAAATATAAAGCATTATGGATGGCTGCCAGGACATTGTTATACATTAGCTAAGATGTCTTGAATAACTGCTACCCTTACTCTGGATGTTATTAAGAGCCAGTGAAAATCCTGCATCATTTAGGGCCCTGTGAATTCCATGACGTGGAAAATGCAGATGGAGTTGCGGAATTCAGTGATAAAAATGGATTTTCAGTAGAACTCGGAATGTCACAGAATTTTGGATGAGTAACTCCAAGACAGAAGGGTTAGAAGGTACTCCATGTAATAATAAAAATAATAAATTATAACATTAATAAAATTAAAACTGAAATTTTTTTTAAGGAACATCACACAATTGTAAACCTATTATGCAGCACTTTGTTTGCCAAAAAATTAAAAAAATTAATTGGTATATTTTCATTTGATTACATTTTAAAAGATAAATTAAACTGTTAATGTTTTATGCCTTCCCTTGACTACCACCATTTTTGATAATAAAATTGTATTTAATCATAAATTCCGAATAATTAAAAGAAAGAATTTCTGAAAAAATAAAACTTTCCATAGGACCCTATTATTGTAAAAAATTAAAATAAATATATTGTTATTAATTACAAATATTTTTTGGTTATTCAAATTGAAGCAAACAATTAAAACAGAATTTTTAACAAAATTAAAATGAAAAACAGAATTCTGGTTAAAAGTAAATAGAATTTGGGGTTGGGGGGAGGATCAAAATGATTTAACAGGTCCCTAAAAATGTAATTTTTGCTACAATTTTGATAAATTTATGTTAAATGACATTTAATTTTCTTTTATAAATTAGACATGCTGTTTAACCCTAATTCATTAAACCTTTAATAAATCATTGTTCAATTGTAAAAAATGTTTTTAATTTTAATTAATTAGACATACGTTTGATTACAAACATTCAATTTAACCATTAAATCCAGAAAATTAAAATGTGAAAAAATGGAATTGAGAAAAATTAAAAACTAAAAAATGAATAAAATAAACAAAGAAAATGTTGTTAAACACAACTGTTGTTAAATGTATACATTTCAGGATTATAATTAATTAGACATGCTTTTTGATTGTTAACATTTAATTTAACCATAAAAACAGGATCCAGATTTCATAGGGTCCTATGGATTAAGAGACCTCTTGGGCTCGTTCTGGGTGGTTTTAGGGTGTAATTATATACTGTATGGTGTAACATCAGGTTCTGGGCTTCAGGTTTCTCACCCTCCAGGTGTTTGACGATTCCTCGCAGGCTGTTGCCGTGAGCGGCGATGAGGACCCTCTTGCCCTCCTTGATCTGAGGAACGATTTCCTCGTTCCAGAACGGCAGCGCTCGAGCGATAGTGTCCTTCAGGCTCTCGCACGAGGGCAGCTGGTCCTCTGTCAGGTCGCCGTAGCGACGGTCCTGCAGCGACATCACATTCACTGTCACGTGACCCTTCAGAGATCAATCTAACATGCTGTGTTGTAGCAATACGCTTCTGTATTCTTTCTGGGCGAAAAATCAAGGAACTTTGCTGCCGTACCATGGGTGCAGCAGGCGCAATGATATTACGCAGCGCCTGAAAATAGGCTTATTGGAAGTTACTATTTTCAGGCGCTGCGTAATATCCTTGCGCCTGCTGCACCCATGGTACGGCAGCAAAGTTCCTTGATT